TGTCTGTAGGTAGAGTTAAGAGTGATTCTTATCTTTTTTCTCAAGTAACCCTTCTAGAATGCTACAAGACCATTTGTAGAATGAAGACAGTTTTTATTTAGTCTTGTAGACAGTTTTTAAGTAATTTATAGCCTATGATAGTTTTCTTGTAATGCTATTTTAAAACCAAAATACTAAACTAATACTAATAGATTTCAAGTGTAATGGCTTACAAAATATAAACTATTAAAATTGCAACATAGCGAAATTAAATATAATATTTCTGACTTTTTCGCGCAATGATTAATCGGTTAGAAAGCGCAAATTGACGTGCGACTTTAAATACATTGTGAAAAGTGATGTAAAACCTGCCATAAAAGTAATGCGTTCGCTAAATTTTAAATGTTTGTATATAAAATATAATCTTAATAAAAATACCGTTATTCATGTTCGGTTTTAAATACTTATAGAAAGCTTAAATATACAAAATAACTCACAAAACAAACCATTTCCAAGAAGTTCTAGGCTTCTTCAACTTAGATTTACTTTAAAAAAACAAAGAAATTTTTCTCGGCTACTTCAGTGATTCTTTAAAAATAAAAATGGCGATAAGAATTTAAAGCTTTTCCAAAACACTGTTGGGAGCACTTTGTCTCTAGCTTTATGTGTAGAAAAACTTTAGAATACGAAAAGATTGTTTTTACTTGCTTTAGTGTATTTGATTTTGTAGAAGAATATTCACTCCTATGACGTTTTTATGATTGTCTACAAAACGCGATATTTCTAAGTGATTTTTTCTTTTGACAGTATTACAAAATCTTTATAAAAGTTAAGCGTATTATGCAATAAAAAACTTTTCGAAACACTAGATCAAAAAAACAATTGAAAAAATCCATTTTGTCGCAAAAAAACCTTATTCTGTATAATTACATGGAATGTGTTATATATGACTAGAAAGGCAGATAAATTCCCTATCATATAAATATAAGGAATATTTTATGACATACCTAACATATGTTGGAAGAAATGAAATTTTAATTACAAAATTGAGGTTATTTCTTCACGCCAACCACATTCCACACAATGATTTCACTGTATTCCTGTTATAGACGGCACAATACACTACAATATAGAACAATTTTACTAAAAATAATTTATAAAATAGTTGTTCTACAGATGAACTTAAAATAAGGACTATACGAGTAAATTTTAAGAGAGATTACCCTTAATTAAGTTGTTTGATATTGAGAAGGTTTTAAAATTTTGACTTTAGTGAAATAAGTCTTTATGAACAATTTCTTTTTTCTAAGATCATTTATAGATAACTATTATCTAAATGTATATACTATATTATGATGTTTATAGATATAACAGTTTTAAGGCGTATAAAGTGTGCTCCTTGGGTCTATTGATTGCGCTTTGTGTTAGTTGTACAATAAATCGTGCTATGGGACAAATACTTATAAATTATCTTGTAGTTCTTCTTATCGTGTCTATGGTTCTTGAAGCAGTATGTTGCTACCTTAAATGCATTATCTGTGGCTGCATTGAGATCTACTAGAGTGCAGGTGTTTACATGAGAGACTGTGATCGCCTTATTCTATCTTATACCTCAGTACGAAGGCAATTTAACGACTTCCACACGGGACACAGCAGATTGCATCTTGGTGGTTGTTGCTCCTGGTGAAACCAGATGGCACCAACACCAATTTATTTCTCATTCCACAGTGCATACATAGTGACAGTCAAATGGTCTTTATTAGCTTGTGGTGCAATATTGGTAGGATTTCTGTAATGATTTTAGGGATTATCAATGATGGTAGAGTTTCTATAATGGTCGTGGAGTCGTGGTCGTATGCTTGGATAAATATCACTACCCTATCTCACTCTACCGAAATATAAGAAGGGAACTTAAGATTCTACTTCTTATGGTCAGTCAGTCGTGATATCGCAAATATCTGTCACGCAACGATTAAAACTCACAATCAAGCAGACCGTTATTAAAATCGTTTATGTTTCCTAGTTTAAATAACTTTTCCCACAATTCTTACAAGTATAAGATGGTATAATATTATACCATTAAGTGTGAAAACAAGTACCTTGAAATCCAATTACGACGATGCGGAGCAGTCCGAAAAGCATTCCCGTAAACATTTTTAGTACCGAAACTGCCCTAAGCCGGGGCAGTACACTAACAGGTCTATAGGGAACCCGAATGGACTGACCTTACTACGTAGCTTTAATTACATACTTGACGAAGGACTAATATTACCTCGTTAGAGAGAAGGTACCTTCATTATAGCTCTAGTTTCGTAGGGTCGAACTTTTTAGTATGACGGTTAACGAGAAGGGTATTATGTGACGTAATAATACATATTTCCAATTGTTTAGTTAATGGAATAAAAATATAAAGACTGTTAGAAAAATTAGCGACTATTTATAATGCATCATTTAATGTTTAAATTAAAATTAAATAATACAACGCTATAAAGTTGGGTGAAGAATAAGTAGCAGTGTGACAGAGTTTGTACATAGAAGTGCTGCCACCTTATTTATTTCTGCCGTCAAGCAGTAATATGAGCATAATGCATTCCGGTTTTTGAAGGCTAAGGGTGCTGGTCAAATTACAAGCACATGGGACTTGTCAACTTATATGTCTCAGGGTGACGGACGATGTAGCAGTGCTCCTCAGATTTTTGGGATTTAAAGCTCCGAATTGCACTGCAATTGCTATGGACAGGTTTACCGCCAGGTGCATGACTTGTTCGTCCCCTCACGTGATATAACAAGTTAGCATAATTAACAATTCAAAGTACGTAAAGGGTACATGGTTTATTATTATAGAAAATTTTATAGAGTTATAATGTAGTCATAGGAGATAGTCTACGGCCTTTCAGGTATTTCAACAGATGAGCTAGTCCCACAAGAGGAAGCTCCTCCGGAAGCGAGGTAGGTAGTGCAGATGCGCACTTACGCTCCTTCTACAGTACAAAATCCTATGTTTAATGTTAACAAAATTTTTGTAGCAATAGGTCTCCTTTGAAAGAGTTTGTTCAGGGAAGTACTACCACCTTACTTATTTCTGCCGCCTAGTCGTAATTAATGTGAGCATTATTGCATTTCGGTTTTGAAGGGTCGTTACCCTTACCTATAATTTCACCAGCACCCCTGTGCTGGGACTTGTTATGTCCCAGGCGACCGGTGCACTGACCTTTGACCTTTACGATTTAATGCTCTGAGTGGCGCTGCAACTATTATGCGTAGATGTAATGCTTTACAACTGGGCGCACGACTTTTTCATCACATCACTTGATAATTATGAAACAGATATTTTCTTCATGAGTCACCTCTTGAAACTTCTTTGACGAAGGTGTCACCTTGTACACGCTTTAGAATGTGAACAATAGAATTCGGTTACTTCCTACCAACTGTTCTCGAATATTCTATTTCGCTGCAATTGACATGAAAAGGCATAAAAAGTTCTCAACTGCAATCAGCGACAACACGGAGTTAATAAAATTATTGTTTGGGTTGTGGTGTTACAATTGTCACACCTGTTTCTTATTCTTGCTTTACACTAATAGATGTTTGTGCAGAAAGTATCTAGTCTATGTCTACCCTATTTGGGGATATGATGGTACCTGTATATGTAAGTATATATGTACGTGTGGAGTAGAGTAGCGTGATTGGTTTCAAAGTCGACGAAACGAAATTATACAAGGATGATAATGAAGATTAGGATTAATTTGGCAATATTGATCGTAATATGTTAGCCCCTGGCAGTTTTAGAATACGTGTGTTTGACGATCTCTGTTGCCTAATAGTTTATACTGTCCCGGAGATCCCGGGTTCGATTCCCGCTAGGACCAAATTGGGAACTCAATTTTTCTAAATTGGTTCTGGTCTGGGTGTTCTGGTCATTGCACTAGAGTTAATCCCCTTGGTCAGGTACTCGTAGTACCTACAGGAAATTACCTAATTTGAGACCAGGCAATTGGTGTGGTAATTTGGCACAGTATTATTTTTATTCGTTTCACTTCTGTTAAAATGTTAGAGTGATTGTAATCATAGATCTGATCAAAGTTAAGCTTTACTATAAGTTATACGGTGTCTTAATTCCGATTATTTCAGTCAATAACTAACCTTTGGTTTTGCCCTACTTAACGGCGGATGCCTAAAAAAACACCTCGCCGATCTATTTCCAACAGTGTGGTTTCCGGAATGAATCAACAGATGATATTTCCAGTTTATTTTTCCACACTTCGTCTCAAAGATCTTAGACCGCTATAGTTTAATTTTACTCGAGTCTTTTGACATTGAGTCTCGAGATGCTTTACGTTGTGCTGGTTTATTATTCGGTAAAATAATGATGTACAAAATTCAAAGTAGTTTTTATTTTAGTTCCTTAGCATTCTCAATAACAAATATTTTTTAAAGATACTTATTCATTTTCACAATATTTATAGATATGTGTTTTAGACACTTTTTAGTACCAATTGTACTAATGTATGGTTACAATAAAAATACAATCAACGACATCTGGGATAAATATTAAATCATTAATTGAAAATATTGTGATGTTTTATATCAGACATATGTTCATGTAAACTACGAACGTAATAGTAAATAAAACTCCTGACTGAAACGCATCAAAGAAACATAAAAGACGTTATCTGTGCACCATCACTATTTATAATGTTTTATTGCCAGCAATATTTGTATCGGGATTTATTTATTAAAATTATAACGGACGTAGTGCGAGCGGCAGACGTGTGCGTTCTAAATATAATTTGGACGCGTGCTCACAAAACAACTCACAAAATTCAGAAAGCGTCGCGCGAGCACGCGTTTGTACCGCTCTTGCTTATTCCTCTTTAAAACTATTAGTTTTTAAAGAAAAAATCGCGTTACTGCCCGTTTCGAATTTCAAACATGAAAATATTATCTAATGTAATCCAAAAAGACGTGAATGAGTGAACGATATATATATTCGGAGATGTTTACTTAGTGTTGTAATGAAAGTGTTGTTAGTGAAACATGTTCAACTTTAAGCTGCCTCTAATAAAACAGAAAGGAAAAGAAGATCCCCTGTACTGCTACAGGAGTGTCAAGACTAAACCACCAAAGACGCCAACACTGTCTCGTGTTAAACGACACCAAAGACGTAAGTTTGACAAAGTATACACGATCGCGTATATGCAAAAATAAACACAGCTTAATGAGGTGCGGCCCGGTTGCAAACAGAGATTAGAAGCTTCTCTGGTACAGGGAAATCCGGAGTTGAGGTTGTTTGTTCAACCTGCTAGTGTATATATGAGCCACTGCAAATTCGCAGCTTTGGAATCTGTTGGTAACAGAAAACGTTAGTTGGTTTTAAACCGTATGCGCGTGGTAGTTGAGTTTTAGCAGCTAACATCCAAGTTTTAATACAGTTCGTAAGTTTTAACGCATTGTAAATATTACAAAATTTCATCTTTATTTCGTTGTGATAAGTTGAGATATTATAAGCTAAAAGTAAGAACGAAAAGAAAAACACTGAAATTAGTGTACGGCAAAATTTTAGAGAACTATCTTCTCACAGCTCCTTGTGAAAAAAGGTCGTCCAAGGAAGTACTGCCACTTTATCTATTTCTGCTAAGCAGTAATGTCAGCATTACTGTGTTCCGATTTTGAAGGGTGCTGGTGAAATTCGGTACATGGGACTTGTCAACTTACGTCTCAGGGTGACGGGCGCAGAGGCAGTGCCCCTCAGATCTTTGCGAATTATACCTATGAGTGACACTGCAACAGTCACGACATGTTCGTCCCATCACTTGATATTATAAAAAAAACACAGTTAAAATTTAACAATAATAATAATAACAAATTAATAATAATAAATAACGCACACACTCAACATAGCCCCGCACTAGAGAAACCCTGTGTCGCGGGTGCCATGGACACACACATAGACAACCACAAGTTACACCCAAACTCACGAGAGAAATAAATGTAGGCCATACAAACATTTCTCCCTGCCCGGGAATCGAACCTGGGACCTCTGCGTGGCAGTTCGGCATGGTAACCGTTCGGCCACGGAGGCAGTTTACACCCAAATTACACCCAAACTCACGAGAGAAATAAATGTAGGCCATATAAATATTTCTCCCGGCTCGGCATGGAACCCGAGACCTCCGCGTGGCAATTCAGTACGGTTACCGTTGAAATCTTCTTACACTCATTATTTTGGTACAAGCGTCTTTTTAGTTCAAGTTCATTAAACAAAACAAAGGAAAACTCGACAAGTTTATTCAACAAACAATACACTCTACCAATACAAAGAATAGGGAATGGTGTTTCTATGGCAATCCGAACAGGAATTTTTATAAATAGCAACATTTTGTAAACACAACTAGATTTATTGAACCAGCACGTGCTTCTGGACGTCTGGTTGGACGCATAAAAATTAGTCTCTTGTCTTTAACTACGCATATAATATATCCTGTTGCTTGTCTTATAAAAGCTAAAGTTATAAGTAGAAATTACAATTTGTCATAAAAAAATTCTAAAAGGTGTTGATTCATCATCAACCCATCTGTATGTCCCGCTGCTGGGCATGAAGTTTGGGGAAATTGTTGATATATTGCTTTTAAATTTTTGTTAAGATGTGTCCTTTTTGTATTGTGTCAGATGGTGCTAATCAACATGAATTAAGACAACAAGAATCAGGAGAAATGTTATTTGGAATATTCTAATTACGATTGCTTCTTGAATGTTTTAATAATGTAGACATCTGAAGTATATACACATCATGATTAATCCATTTACATGTCTCCTGTCTGAAATGACATTTTCCAGAAATAACGTTTGGTCGAAATTTCCGCGGGGGCAGAGCCGGGGTTATGTGGGACTGGGCTGAACCGTGAAGGGGAGCAGCCCGACCGCACTAAACCCCCGGAGTGTTCCTCCTCTCCGCTGTAGGTGGGGGTACGGGTACGCTGTTGCACTTGTCCGCGCCCCCACCAGCGCCCTGCGCAGCCCCTCCCCTCCCCTAACCTAACCTAACCTAACCTAATCGTGTCTTTGTGATAAACATTCAACATATCCTGAAAGAACAACTGTTTCGTTATAATTCGGTTTTCGGTGTAATATGCTTAACTGCCTCTGTAGCCGAACGGTTACCATGTCGGACTGCCACGCAGAGATCCCAGGTTCGATTCCCCGGCCGGGAGAAATATTTGTATGGCCTACATTTATTTCTCTCGTGAGTTTGGGTGTGATTTGTGATTGTCTATGTGTGTATCCTTGGTACCTGAGTCGCAGGGTTTCCTTAGTGCGAGGCTATGTTGAGAGTGTGCGTTATTATATTAAAAAAAAAAAGAAAATTCGAACAAACGTTTGTGATAGGTTACCGGGTGGGGACTTTACACCTTTTCTGAGGATTAAGAACTTTCTTCGATGTACAGATCTTATTGCGATATTTTCCTTCACCGAAGAGCTTATTGTAAATGTCAAACTTAATTTCGCACATAATTCCGAGAAAACTCAGATATGCGAACCCGAATTCGAACCCACTACCTCTGCTTGAAAGACGGTATGTTTCACCTATTACATATACACCATTAGGACACCACAGTTCTTATCCACCAAATCAATTATTTACTTATGTTAAATAATAAATTATTAAAATGTACAAGTATGAAGTAACTAACAAAAATTTAACTTTAGGCGTTTTTTCTAGAATCTAAATCGCGAACATGTGCAATATTTGTTTTATTGAATCCGGAACAATTACTATCAAATAAATAATACTCAAATAAATAAAAATTCAAATTCATACTTGACATTGTCGCTTGATATCGTCGTGTATTACTTATTTGACTGTAATTGTTTGGGACGAATATCAGACGGAGAGTAGACCCCATGTTTTTATTAACATGATATTAATTTTTTTTAATGAAAATACTCCATTAGTTTAGTGTTATTATTGATACAAAGATCGAACAAAATACAAGGACAAATTCCTTCGATCTCGCACCTGTTTGCCAAACCGCAAAATAACGCGCATAAATTTTTGCGTATAATTTGTTCTAATTAGATCCGAAAAAATAGTTTTAATTCTAATCTCGCTGTAGTTTATAATATATGGAGCTATATCCATGTTGGTTTTTGACACAAAATATTTTTTTGAGGATCTGAGGATCAAAGCGAATTTAACGAAACCTCAAACACTAAAATCCATCAAGCCGTTGAACGGCTATGCTACGCGATGAGCTGAAGAAATTGACATTGATATACTATACATACGCCCGAAAAAACATTGCCAGTTCCGGGGAAGTTGGGTAAAAACGAATTTCTCAAAGACATGCGTTAGGTATGTGCCAGACGTCGAACATCCCATTATGAGGGCCCAGTTATTTTTAGAGAGTATTGCGTAAAGTGGACTGACCCTAATTATGGACTCTTTGGACTTGGGCCATGAGACGTAATCCACTGGAGGAAACGTCTCCGTTTTGTTGATATAAAACGTGTTTTAGAGGTATCATAAATACTCAAAGTCTGTGTTTCTTAGTAAACATTTTAAAGAATTTATTTTCTTGCGTTTTTTTGTTGTTTTTTGGTTTAGTTTCGAATGATGAACTCTATTATTGGATTTTTTATCACTGTTATTATAGAAAGCACTTAATTGTTTCTATATTGATATACATCAACCCGTACGGCCTCTCAGTACACGTTTTATTTTGGAATAGGACATTAGGATTATTGAGAGAGCTGAAAATAGTTCAGTGAATTCCTCAGCTCAAGGTAGGTTCTGTTGAACCATACCTATATTTATTGAACAATGGAATAGGTATTTTGTTGTTCATTGACTTGATAGAATCAAACAATTTACTTGCCAGTGATAATTAACGTGTAAATTATTTTCGTATATTGGAATATAGTAAGAAAAAAACGCAAAATTTCAATACTTAATAATTAAAAAAACAAAGCGGTGGCGGCCTGATGAAAAACAACGTCAATTGGAATAGACGGTTGGAAATACACCTAACTTAACTTTGCCAGTTCCGGGGGAGGAAAATATCACAATGGAACGCAAGTTTCTACAGATTTGTACAGTACGTTCACAACCCCTGGAAAACGCGTGAAATACTGTCTTTTTAAAGGAGAACCGGGCCAAAAACAAGGACGTGTCTGTGGATGATGATAATTGTAGATAAAACAATATTGAAAATATCTATTCTTTTTCAAAAATACTGTTTTAAATGATAGATAGAAATTTGAAAACGGAGCCTCTAGGTTGAGCGGGGTATCTTAATTATAGAGATTCATTAAGATATAACAATATTACATATCGAGTTTTTAGACTTTCACGATTATTATGTATTAGGAATGAAACTACTATTTTTTTGAATTTAAATCATCTATATTTGTTTTTTCAAACAAATCCTAATATCACAAACCTTAATATTACCAATATGTCTATACATTTTTTGTTTTATTTCATGTGTTCGATGTTTTAATAACAATTATATCCCAGTAAATCGAAAGTTTAGATTTAGAATCTTCTACATTTTAATATTCAAAAAACACACAATAGTAAACGAATTCCAACATTTCAGATTTTCGGATTATTCGAGGACTCCTGAAAATGTCAAATTAAAAAAAAAACAAAATCAAGAGGAAGTGCGCACCAAAATCTCGTGAGCTTACGTGATTATGGCTATCGTAACAAGAATTCTGAGACCAAAATTAATGATGATTTCTTCTTATCGTATGGATACATACTATTGTGGCCCAGTATTCAGTCAACCTGATCGTGTCACTAGTAGCCGCCATTTAAATACTCAAGCGCGCAAGTGCTATCCAGGGCACGTTTGAGGTGAGCCATCGCTTGACTCATAAAAGCCTTCCGGAAATCCCCTCCTGAACAAATTGCCCTTACCCCGGCCAACCCAGCAAGCCTATTAAAAGACTTTCAGATCGGATATGGCAATCCGTGTCCAAGAGGAAGACTCTAAGATGGCAATGAGAACTTCAATGTTCGATAATAGTATGTAATTTCGTGTCAGGTTCACGTTCACGGTTTACACGAAGCGTGAAGAGGCATCAGGTGGAGTGAGTGCCTGTTAGTATTAAAAAAAAACACGCTCTTGACCTGCATTATTTTACTGCCAATTTCAAGTG